GACAATATTGTTAGTGTTAGAGAATAGGCTATTTTTTTTTTTTTTTTTTTTTTTTTGGTATTTCCAGAAAATGTCACCAATATTAAATAGTTCACTGGACTGGTGTAATTTGGAAACATATTTGAATTCTAAAATCATATTAAAAAGGCTTTACACGTAATAAAATATATCCTCGACCATAGGCGTGAAACATTTTTTAACTGCTAAGGTATCAGCTACCAGTTAAGTTTTCCAATCGTTTAGTTAGTATTTTGACCGCTTTTTCCATCGTCTATGAATGATGATGAGTTGCTGGTATTAAGTCGAAATGGTGATGGTGAGATGAGTTTTGGATGAATTAAATGTAGCGCCTTCTACAATAAGGAGGTAACGGCCCCTAACCTCTGAAAGGCTTTAATAGGGGCAGGATCTGAAGTCCAGGGTTCCATCCCGGCTTAAGTCTTTGGAGTTTTCGACCAGCTTTTACCTATGTCAGTGATGCAGATCAAAGGAGTTAAAAGCGTCTAGTAGTTGATCTAGTCAAAGAGCAACGGATTTAGGGCAATGATTTCTGAAAATTCTTAAGCCGATGTCACAACGGTCTTTAAAAAATAAGTACATGCAATCGTACAGATGAATCATTTCAAACACAAAATAATTTTGCTGGTAGTCTGTCTATATGACTATGAAAGTCGACTATAAAAGATTGTCGTGGTGTTGCCAAATCTTCTAAATCTTCTTTCGCGAGTTTGACTGATTTTAAGAGTCATTTTGGGAGCGAAAAGTATATGTGATGGAATATATTGGTCTTCATGATGATTTGAGCAGCTCTGTTCTGAAGTTTCTGTAGTCGGTCAATTTTATTGTCAGGTAAATGAAACAAGAAAATTCTTAAGCCGATATCACAACGGTCTTTAAAAAATAAGTACATGCAATCGTACAGATGAATCATTTCAAACACAAAATAATTTTGCTGGTAGCCTGTCTATATGACTACGAAAGTCGACTATAAAAGATTGTCGTGGTGTTGCCAAATCTTCTAAATTCTCTTTCGCGAGTTTGACTGATTTTAAGAGTCATTTTGGGAGCGAAAAGTATATGTGATGGAATATATTGGTCTTCATGATGATTTGAGCAGCTCTGTTCTGAAGTTTCTGTAGTCGGTCAATTTTATTGTCAGGTAAATGAAACAAGAACATTCTTAAGCCGATATCACAACGGTCTTTAAAAAATAAGTACATGCAATCGTACAGATGAATTTTGCTGGTAGCCTGTCTATATGACTATGAAAGTCGACTATAAAAGATTTTTTTTAAGTCGTGGTGTTGCCAAATCTTCTAAAACTAGAAAAATGGACTGTGTGACTGATTTTCTGAATCTACTTCACAACTTCTTGATTTTTCCAATCTTGATCATGAAACGTAGAATGTAATACGAAAAAGACAAAATATAAGAAAATGGACATAATTAATGTTTACAACACCATGCTGGGCTTTCGACAATTGTTTGAGAATAATTTTTATCGATATTGTTTGTTTTTTCTGGGAATTTCATTAGTTGGTTGTTTAATAATGAAATTGGGAATTGAATTATTGAATCGGCTTTACACGTTGCCTATAATAATATATATTCTCGTCCATGGGAGATATGAAAGTTTTTTTTTCTTTACCTGCTAAGGTATCAGCTACCAGTTAAGTCTGCCAATCGTTTAGATAATATCTTGACCGCTTCTTCCATCGTCTATGAATGATGATGAGTTGCTGGTATTAAGTCGAAATGGTGATGGTGAGGTGAATTTTGGATGAATAAAATGAAGCGCCTTGTACATTAAGGAGGAACTTGCTCGTAACCTCTAAAGGGTTTTAATAGTGGCAGGATCGGAAATAGAATATGTAACAATAATAACAGTAATAGCATTCTATTTATATCGCGCTGGTAAATCCAACAGTAAAGTTGCTCTTACGCGCATATAATGATAAACACACACCCACACTCCCACACACACGTATAAAGCAGTTGTAGATTTAAAAAATTCAGCACACAGTTAAAAACGAATAAACACGCCGGTAAAAGGGATTTAGTGAAAGAGTTGGTAAAAAGTTCTGTTGTTAAAAGTTTCTTAAAAGTACACACATCTTTCGCGAGTTTGACTGATTTTAAGAGTCATTTTGGGAGCGAAAAGTATATGTGATGGAATATATTGGTCTTCATGATGATTTGAGCAGCTCTGTTCTGAAGTTTCTGTAGTCGGTCAATTTTATTGTCAGGTAAATGAAACAAGAAACAAGCAGTAATCCAGGATGGAGAGAACAAAAGCACTAATAAGCATTTTGGCTGTAGGCCTATCTTTGTTGAGGTATAAGGACGCAGCTTTCCAATGTTGCATAAATGAAAATTTACTTTATTACACACGAATTGATATGATGATTGTCAAAGTCAAATTGACAGTTGAACATTACACCGAGATTTTTGACAGAAGGAGTAAGCAGATACTGAACGTTACGAAACGTTTATTAAGCGTCAAATACAGTTGGGTATCATCAGCGTATAGATGGTAGTTATTCCCATTCTCTCGGATTATATCGCCAATGGGGGTAGTATATAAAGTAAATAATATCGGTCCCAAGACAAACCCTTGTAGTACTCCATACTTCATTATTTGTGATTTTCATGTCGATTTTTAAATAAAACAGAATCTGTATTTGGTGTGAAAATGTCCTCATTTTGCTCCCTATTACCAGTATAATTATACAATCAAATCTATACAAATGACTTTTCAGTATTTTTATACAAAATACCATCTAATATAGGAACTGGTGGTAAATTGTTAGTTTTTTTCATCATGAACTGTTAAAAAGATCTCTTTGGAGCCGTGGAATTTCTGAGAAGGATGAGTGTCCAGCAGGCCCGTAACCAGTTCAATATACCAAGGGGGGTAAACTGGTCCCCCATTCCATTTTAAGCTTCGTGTAGCTGTAAATAGAGCTGAGAATAGCAGACTAGGTATTTAGAACAATTCAATCTATTTCTAAAATAGCAAAATTTTAGCTAGAAATAGAGCAGAATATAGAAGATTAGGTACTTTAAATAATTTCAGTCTTTTTCTAATTTTAGCAATAAATAGCTGAAAAAAGAAATGAAACTAGAAAAGTATGGAAGAATCATCTTTTTAACTTTTTAATGTGGTAAATTTTCAACACACCTGGATTTGAAGGCACAAAATTTTGATGGTGATCTGTGAACATTATTACCAATTAGATTAGATAATAAATTCCCGTTTCTGGTGTAACCTATTTTCGTGGATATAAGGATTCAACACCGAATTTCGTAAAAAGTTAAAAAAAACGAAAATTTTATGTCTTAGATGTTTCCTCAGATATTCTACAAAATAATTAAAATTGGTTTATTTCGATTTTCTTTATGAATCCTTCACTTTGACCCATATTTCATGAGCAACCAACTCGGCAACGGCGGCAGAATGCGTCACCTATTTTCGTGTACAATGTTTGATCTATAAATAAGTCGAGAAAAACATGTTGTATAGATACCGGGTGGTATAATTAACTTCTCTTAGTATTTATCTTAAATATTAATTCATAATAACTAGTGACAATTCCTTCAAAGAACCACGATTTAAAAAAAAATAGCGACTGACAAAATAAGATACGTAGCGTGATTTATTGCTAAAAGTCACTGAAACAACATAAGAATATGGTCCACTTTGTGTTCCATAGAAATTTTCTGCTGACACGGAATCCGCTAGTTGATCATGTGACTTCATTCGTTGGACTACATTCTAGCAGACGACACTTGGAATTCCGATTAGGGCTTGGGATTATAAGGAAATTCGGCCGATAAAAAATGGTGACGTTTGGTAATAAGTCAAATCCGCCATTTTGTATTTGTCAAAGTATACATTAATACATTTTACTTTGCTTGAAAATACTGGATTCATTCTACTAGCTGATATTGTACAGAAAACCCATGTTTACTAAAACAAACTAATGCGGAGGTCGCGCAAGGTCGCTCATGTAAATTATTAATCATTTCCGGAAATCCACAAATAATAGGTTTCCACGAAATTAGGTTACTTGACTGTACTACATCTTTCCTTAAAGATACCATAGACAATAACCTGGTTTTCACACACCTGGTTATCTAGGATAGGAAATTCAAACAATTTTTAATGCCAGCTTATTTACTGATAAAACTCTCAGAATAAGGTGCATTTTTCTACAAAGAAAAAATTGATTACAATCTGGTCCAGACATAAAAGAAAAGAACTTCAAAGACTGTTATTTCAGAAAAAACAATTCATTTGATTAATGAAATCATTTTTAATCAGTTAGCATTGTATAAATGATATTATTGATATATATCACCCATAAGACTAGACCAAAACATCTGCATCTATTCCAGCCTGGGATAGCTATTTCTGTTAAATCGATTGATTACTGTAGATTTTTCACCATAAATTTTCATGTGTTTGCAATAGGTTAAGTTGAAAAAAATTATAGGAACCCATTAGTGTTTTATAAAATAATATGTATTAATTAATTTTTATTATATCTAATTTTTAGATAAATCAGTTTATTTACAAGAATACATCAATCTTATAAAGTCTTAAAATTGGTCAGTAAAGTGTCTATATTCATCAGTTGGACTTATCAGTTGTAATTATTGAAAAACAATAAGGCGTAGCATAGAAAACTAAGAATGGAACTCTATGACTGGTATAATGGTACAAATTTTTCTATGTGATTTCTACAAACAGGGCACAGTTGAGTTGGTAACATTTGGGCACACGATGAGCAAATAGCTACATGACCACAGTTCAAAATAACAATATCTCTTGGATTTTCCAAACATATTACACATTCGCTGTTCTCTCCACTTCTCTCAGCATTAGTTAACCCCAATCTAGCCTCTTCAAATATCTGTCTGTTCCTGCGTTCTTCTGTATACTTTTTGGTGTGTTTCCAAATAAGATAAATCAGAAATCCAGAGCTGAAACAACCCCAGATAACCATTAAAACTTTAAATATTGTAGATTGTGACTTTAATGATTTAATGACCTCATTTTTGCTCAGTTTTGTTAATATATATTTAGTCCCTTGTCCAGGTCCAAATTTTACTTTACCATTCTCCATAAACACTTCTCCAAATCCCACCAGATGAGTTCCAACTAGCAGCATCCGTTCTTTCTCATGTAACCCCTTAGATATATCTCCAAGAACTCGATCCAGACCAACTTGTAACAATGATGCATTATTTGGTTGATATCTGTCATATGTTACAGATAAATCATCCATGAGAAAGTCAGCATCAGCTACATCAGTGATATATATTTCACTTCCAACTTCATAGTCAGTTGTCAGAGCAAATGGTACACATTCATAAATACTTCTCAACACCTTCCTTACATCAGACCTAGAAAAAACATTAAACAAGTCAGCAGATATTACATCTGAACACCACAATTTCATTTCACTGACGGAATATTGGCAATGTCTGACATCAATTACAGACCAATGTGCTAACCAAAATCAACAGTATGCAAGATATTATGTGCTTTGTCCTTTTGATAGTACCAGGCATCACCAGTCTTTCATTTTGTTCCAGTTTTGGGACTTTTGACTCATAAATGACTCTAACAACATTGTAATATTTTATTCATATGTTTAAAATACAACTTTTAAATTGTTTAAACATTGAGTTACAAAAAGGGACATAACATGAAATAAATTTTGGTGAAATACATATGTGTGAGATTTGTCTTTTTTAAAGGGACAGATTTGCTCTTCAAAATTATCTAGAATTATTCCTGTTTCAAACTTAAAAAGAAGAATCGCCTTTTCTTGACATTTATAGGAAAGACATATACATGCACAGAAAAGAAATAGATATTCCTATTTGAGGTATTTTTGAAATAATGGATTTTTGTACATTTTAGTACTTCTGAAGATTATTTACATATGTGCAAGACCAAAATCAACCCCAGAAAATGGTGAATCTGTCCCTTTAACCAGGACAGAAACAAAAGACATCATCAGTTCCAATCTTACCAAAATCCATTAACTCTTCTAGATTTAAGTTCCTCAAGTGTTGCATTGACAAGAACACCTTCCTTGGTAGAGTCATACTGACTGAATAAAGTTCTACCAAGACTTGTAACTACTCCCTCTATCTTAGCGTACGCTATTTTGTGATCTTCACATCCTTGTAATCTACGTTTTAAATCACTTCCTAATTCAACATCAACTGCAGCCTAAAATCATCAAAATTAACATACGAGAGATATTTTGTAACAGATATGTATTCTTTGATACTAATATTTCAGGTAACCTACACTATGTCATGGTTCACAAATAATTCAATACCTCCCTTTCAGCCTTTCAATTTATTCTATATTTCTTTTTTAAAGAGAATTTGCCTAAAAATATTACTGTAAGTCTTATAATGTTTTCGCTTGGATGAAAATATAATTTTTTGGAATTTTATATTTAAAAAGAAACCATTTCTCACCTAGAAACCCCGAAAGGTCCAAACTTTGACTGGAAATTGTCCTCTATAATGTATGCTCATGTTTATATTATTTATTATCAAAGCAAAGTCATTCCAAGACTAACATTACCGGTACTAATTTGAGGCTGCTATTCCAATATTGTCATAAATATAATGTAAAAAATTTAAAAACCTTTTTTTACTTAGCTCAGACAATAATCATTGTAATTTCTAACTCGAATGGGTTTTTTTGATTGTTCGCAAACATTAATTAGATCTAGATTTTAAAAAAATGTCCAGAATCCCAGGAATTTAAGAGTTATGGAATAGTCTAGATTCCATAAGCTTATAGTAGTTATAGATAGAACTTTATTGCATATGAATTTGCCAATATTGACTGAAAACGGTAAAAACAGATTCAGTGGTAGGTCTACAGACTGTATACTGAATTGTAGATGAGGGCTGAGTTCTAAACATTACAAATAATGATGATAATAACCTTGACTTGATCAGCTGACAATTGATGGTGTTTGTAGCGGTTGTAAAATATATAGAACAAGATACTTGAAACACTTAATCCGACAGTAGCTAATTTATCTGCTGTATCAAAGCTAAGCATTTTATTAAGGTTTACTTTTGGTTATTTTAAGTCAAATTTTTCCTCCGATTTTTTGAAGGAAGTATTTCAGAAAGTAAAACCAAAAGTAGTCTGATCTGAATCTAGGACACCCAGACACTCTCTGTGAAGCTTTGAACGTCCTTATTATATCAAAATCGACCAAAAGACAGATATAATATAATCTGTAGATATTATATCTAGCAATGATTATTCACATTCACTTTACATTTTCTTGTAGGCCTACTATTCATAATTGAAAATCGAAAACGTAAGCTTTCGTGTATTTCAAAATACCAGTGTCTTGGTAATCGTAAATATTCTACTGAAGGGAAATAACTTAGGCACTCGGGTCGAGATCAACTGGGCAGACAAAAAGGTTTGCAGACAATAACTAAGATCAAGTCCGCAGACGATAGACAGCAGAAAATTGAACTCATCCTCGCGATTCAGCCAATCAACAAAAGCGACATAAGGAAAATTATCGGGATTCCCTCAAGGGACACAAATCATATAATAACATAATGGATTCACTCCACTAATTCATTTGCCATCTCGTTGAAAGCTTTTCGATATGTCGAATGAAAGCCTAACCAATGCTTAATGCCTCCTAAAAATTCAAAATAATATGATGACCATGAAAATTTTGAGCTACTAAAATTGAAAGTAGACTACTACCGGTTATACTCATCCGCTAGAGTTTGGCAGTTCACACAAGTGGTTGCCTTGCAAGATACGCCCACTTTCTTGATACATTTTCAGTATATCAAGGGCAGTCAATCTAATTTGTGCAAGATATTGTTGATTTAAACAAACACACATTATTTAATAAAATTCTGACATAATCTGTCACCTTTCACCTACAAATTTTGATGCATTTTACTAAGTCAAGGGCTATAACTCAAATTCCGTTGATCGAAAAAGTATCAAATTCAATCTTGTCCAAGATCTCATTATAAATATTCACACCAAATTTCATTTAAATTGGATGAAAACTGTAGTCCCTATTGTGTTCACAACCAAATTTTGTCCAAGATCTCATGAATATAAATGATCGCACTAAAATTCATTCAAATTAGAAAAAAAAAAGTTATATCTATTGCGTTCACAAGCCAATTGTGAACGGATGTACCGACGGACAGGGACGACGACAATATACGACCACATTATAATGTGGGCGTATAAAACGACAATTTTTAGAATTAGCCTCCCGCCTTTAGGTCTTTCATATCTCAAATCTTAAAGATAATGCAATTTCAGATATCAAAATCCTAATCTAACCATTGTCTTTAGACAACCTGTCTTGCAATTTTCACTAGGAATTGAGGGCAGTGTGCTCTATAAAAAAGATGCTTTATTTCATACTGGAAAGAGGTGGGGGAGGGGGGTAGATTGTATAGACTAAATAATAACAAGGTGTTACAATATACAATACATAATTATACAATACTATTACATATACAATACTATTACATATACAGATATTTTTTTGACTATGACATGTTAATCTTCCGTCCACAGTGACTTCGCCAGACAGGAAAACCATAGATGAGTCTCGGACATCAATGGAAACTTGTGTCCGACCTAATGCGAAAGCACCTCGGAAGCTATACTCGGACGTATATAGAAATACATAGTGATGTTATGCCGCAGAAGGATTTTTTTCCAATATATTCATATACATGTTTAACATGCAAGCCCTTTTGTTACTAATCAAGGTACAATCTCACACCTATTGGCCCTACAGTACCTCTATGATTTGTTGGCCAACAAATCTTGATCATACGAACTTAACCAGCAAAACAAGCTTAACATCACCCTAACACAAGCAAGTTTAGTCCCTACAACCCTTAACACAAACCTAATAAAAACCCACGTGAGCCCTACACATATCCTAACCTTAGCAAACCTAACATTCCCCCAACACAGAATCTCATAACGCTGAGATTCGAGGGCGAGGTTGTGTGTAGCACAAAAGGGTGAGCATAGTTATACATGGTTATGGAAAATTGAAAAAAAAAAATCTTTATTTACCGCAACACCCTATGGGTAGGCCTGGTTTCTGGTAGCCATAGCGTAGATCTGGTAGCTTCTCAATATCTAAACCATTGATTGAATTCAGGGGATGTTTTCTGAAATTCATATCAAAGTCATAGTTAATAGCCAGTAAATCTCAATAACATTAATGTAATAGTCACATTATATCTTATAATACAAAATATGGAAACACAGCAGACATCTCATCTCTTCTTCACATCTTATCTTCTCGACACACATCCCTCTTTCCAGTCAAGTTGGCCCAAAATATCTCAAACAGATATAACTAAAAATATCCGGCGGGATATATTTAAATTTTGAACCTTGCTTAGTCCCATACTCGAATCTCAAACGCCCCTATCGTAGTCCCTACTATAGTCCTATATTAATCAAGTAAACAAGTAAAACGAATCATTCTGTTGCTGGCCGGCAACCCCTAAACGAATTGTCATATCTAACCTAACATGAAACCACTAACACTAACCTAACTCGTGAGAGATATGAGTAAGGGAGGCAGCAAGATTTGCTACATCTGAGCTATTAAACTATGAAGTATATCTGTAAAAACGAGATTGACTGAACTTCTCTGGTTTGGTTTGGTTTGGTTGTCGTTGGTTACCATTTCCATCCGTTACCTAAAATTAGAATGTAAGGGATCAGTACACCGTGTACCGAGCAGGTGAAATATAGGACCGAAAACACAAAACCTAACATTGAAACGACCAGGAAAATGAATAAGGGAAAAATGAAAAGAAAAAACAATAAAATTTTTTTATTTATTATTCATTAAAAGTTGTTGCTTGTACCTACAACTAAAAAAAATTAATTGCTTCTTTTGAAAAAAATATATATGATTAAGTAAATAAGGGAGGGGGTGGGGTGTGGGGCTAAGTATTTATTCAGAGTAAGCATACCCTGCAACACCATCAAATATTGAGCTTCAGCATGCTTATTCTACAGCCTTGATAAAAATGGAGGTAGGAAGGGGGTAGAGTAAGTAGGCTATACCCTGCCACCAAATAAAGTTCTATTGCATCACATCATTCTTAAATCATCAGCATGTCCCTCCTGCAGTTTGAACCTTACTGCTGGTGGGGGGAGTAATCAGAAATTAGGATATCACATGAAAGCTAATGTTGTGTAGGATAAGCATACCCTAGAACATCTTCATCACAACAGTCAAGGTAACAGGTCAGAAGAGGGGCGACGGTACTTGACACTAAAGCATCCTAGCACCTAACTGAGCCCTATCTTTAATTCTACTCCTAGCACCTAGCAGAGTCCTATCTTTAACATTAAAATTACCAAAATTTCTATTCCTAGCACCTAACTGAACCCTATCTTTAACTCTTTAAAATTTAAATTACTAAAATCCCCACTGTTTTAGTGTAAAAAAGTCATTATGAAAAATGGAACAAATTAATTAAAGTCTAAATTATGAAAATAGAAAAAATCAAATTACTCAGCGGAAATCAAAATTACGAAAATGGAAAAAGAAACTACTCCAGAAAAACAATTGTGAACATGAAAAACTCTAATACTTTAAATTAATTGAAAATATTAACCCTATACCCTAACACTTAGCAAAATGTCCTATCTTTAAAGAAGTGGTTACATTCTTCATCCAAGGCAACCATACAAACGACCAATGCAAACATATAATTGGAAAATAAAAGCTTCTGTTAGTTTCGGGAATTTCGGGGTTAACATTAGAGGGGTTGGGTTAATATTAGTACTTGGCCACCACCGCAACAGAGCACGGAAAAAGGAAAAAGAAAAGAGTAAAATTCCCTCATCAAACAGACTCTTTTTTGCAACATTACAGCCAATCAAATACAAAATATGAATGTAACCATTAGAATTTAATACGAAATTTATTGAAACTTAATGACAATTACTTTTAAAAAAAGATTAAATCGAACCCTGCACCTACACTTATTATCCGTACCGCCGTATCAGAGAGCCAACATCCTACATACAAATGGCGTTCTATGCATAGAATAACCATTGCCATACCACCTTACAGAAAAACAGAGAGATCATTAGTAGTGAAGTATCAGCAAAAACACAACATGACAGCTCCATACCAATGTCTTTGACTTCAACACATGCATGTGTAGACAGTCAAACATAAATATATACACACATACAAACACACACTATCACACACTTTCAAAACAATTCCCTATCTCAATCATATCAGCCATATCCTAACACAAATTCAAGTCTAAGTCTCTAAGCAAGTCCGTCAATATCATCTCTATAAACTATATGGTAATAGTTTGATTTTGAGTCTCACATGATCCCACACTCGTATCTCTAACGCCCCTAACTTAGCCCTAATGGCCGAGCTTAGTCCTACAAGGAAATCGATGGAAATAAATCGCCGGTCAGCAACCTAAAGAATTATGTTAAACCTAACACAAAATCTGGAGCAACCTAACCGAACCTAACACAAGCCTAACTTTGACGGAAGAGAAACGAATGTGGGTGCAAGGGGTAGCTACAATAGAGCTAATATCAGTAAGAGATGATGCCCTACCTAGCTTTGATTATCAGCTAAACCATGTCTAATAATCTGATCCTAACACCTACTCAAGCCAAACAGCACACCTATCACCACCAGGAAAACCATACTTCCAGTATGCACCAGTTCAGTTCGGCAGCATTCCGCGACCCATTCCTACACGAAACCAACCAACCTACCCAAACACCCACCTAATTCTTTTTTTAAAGACTTTTTCCCCTTTTGGTTATTTCATTCTTGACCATTTCATACCATGAAATCGAATGAAATTATAAACATCCCTTTGACAATATTATATCTTGACTACCATTCATCATACTTTCATTACCTAAAAATAGAAGGGAAGGGATCAGTACACCGTGTGCCGAGCAGGTGAAATATAGGACCGAAAATACAAAACCTAACAATAAAACAACCATGAAAATGAAAAGAAAAAAAAAACAATATAAGAACATTTTATTTATTATTCATTAAAAGTTGTTGCTTGTACCTACAACTAAAAAAATAAAAT